TCTAACTCGGCTACCCCCTGAAGCTTATTTCTTCAATGTTTCTTTACTCATCCTAGCTAGATTAAAGCTAGCAAGCATGGGCTACATTCACACCTTCATTTGTAGTATAGAATCACAGAACACTAGAACTGGAAGGAACCTCAGAAGGTCATCAAGTCCAGTCCCCTGCCCTCACGGCAGGACTAAGCGCTGTCTAGACCATCCCCGATAGATGTCTATCCAACCTGCTCTTAAATATCTCCAGTGATGGGGATTCCACAACCTCCCTAGGCAACTTATTCCAGTGTTTGACCACCCTGACAGGTAGGAAGTTTTTCTCTAATGTCCAACCAAAACCTCCCTTGGTGCAATTTAAGCCCATTGCTTCTTGACCTGTCATCAAAGGACATAGCCTTAGTGCCACGGGTCAAAATAATACCATCTTTTTGAGGCAATACTGCTAGGAAATGACACACACCCAGAATACAAAGTACGGATGAAGACAGAGATCAAGATAGACAAAATCTCCATGCATAGTGTCCTGGAGAGAATCTCTGCATGGCTGCAATGGACACACAGAATCATAGGACACTGTAACAGGAAGGGACCTCGACAGGCCCCCATGTCCAGTCCCCTGCCCTCGTGTGTTTGTTAAGTTTGAAATGACAGCCGGAAAAAAATAATTGGTTGATTGACAGATGAGGGTCAGCCTCCACAACACCCTGCATCTGGCTTCCTCAGCAGCCTAGGCAGGAAAACCACAAACCAACGGACAAGAAACCCAAAGGAAACACTGAACAAGAAGGTTTTTTGCCCCTTCTGGGCTACACTTCCCTCTCACCTGGGCCTCCACACTCTCTCCTTGGAGGCCCTGCAGCTAGCCAAGCTGCTGAGTCTCTGGGCTTCCTGCCTGGAGACCTTCCTCCACTCCACAGGCTGAAACCAAACACAAAGCTTTCACCTGTCCCTACCTAGGCCCACCCCTCCTTCTCTGGGGGCTGCCTCCTCTCCTCTGATTTCAAGCTCCTTTCTGCCCAATCCCTGGGCTCAGCTTTCACCCTTTACCTCTTCCCTCCATCCCTCCTGGCACCTTTGGGTCCTTCTCTGTCCTTCCCCAAGAGCTCCCTGCCAGATCTTCCCACCCACAAGTGTTCTGCCTACCATGTGCTCTCTGCTGCCTTGTCTCCCCTCAGCTCCTTGACTTTCCTAGCACCCCATTCAGCCAGGCTTCCTCCGTTCTAGTCCCAGGTGGGGCTAACAGAACTGGGGTGCTTCCTGGCACTCATAGGGCCAAGCCACCTTATTATGGGGTACTGGTGCGTGTCTACACAAATAAGTAAATGCACAGGTGCCTGTGTTTCTCTGCTGGCCACACTTCCTTGGTCTTCTCCCCGTAACAATCCAAGTTTGACCCCACCTCAGCTCCATAAACTCCAAGGCACAGCTCCCAGGGGCAAAAGCTGCTTGCAGAAGCCAGACAGTGCAAAAGAAACATCATGTTCTCACACTGCCACGACCAATACGGCCACCCAGAACAATTAAGGGGGAAAAGTCACAAAAATGGCTCTTTTTAATAAAGGCACTTTTGCCTTCTCTAACTAGGGCCCTGCTAACAACAAGCCGGCTCAAAACCACTTGTGCTTTAACTGTGGACAGGGCCCTGGGGAATTAAACTCCAAGCTCCCAGTAACCCACAGCGCAGCTGGACAGAGTCCAGGGACGGTGCTCCCAGATTGATTCGATGAGAACGCTCTCTTATTCCTCCAGGAGGCTGTTGTCTTAAATGGGGAGAGGCGGAGAAGCGCTGCAAGTGACTCATGTGGTGGTGGTGTTATTTCCCTCCAGGGTCCTTCTTCAGTCGTACTTCCAGAGAGGCTCTTAACACACCGCCTGCCAGTCTGCACAGCTCTCCCGCTCTGAGCTATGAGCAGAGCCTTGAGAACAGCGTACGCTAGGCTCTGGTACAACCCCCCCCCCTCCCCTCCCACTCTGAAGGGGTGAACCCGGGACAGGCCACTACTGCCGGCCCGTTTTCACTCCCTCCACCTCCACTAGCAGCAGCACCCTAGCAAGGCTCTTTTGCAATTGTCTCCGTCTCTTACCACTGGAGGCAGTCACTCACGGGTCCTCTTCCTAAACACACCCAGAATGCAGCATGAGGACGACAGCTTCCTCCACACGGGTCCTGGAGAGGCGCGTTCTGTTCTGTAGCCTGCACTGTTCATTTCTGGGCGTAATCTGCAGTGATGGATTCACACCGTGGTACCTTTTGTGCCTGTGGCAGTGGAGGCAGAGGGAAGCTCCCAGCCAACAGTTCCTGGCTGGTGGGGAGTGCGCTGGAGGTAGGGTGCCCCCAGTCAGCTGTCTGCCACTGTAGTCCCATTGCTCCTGTTTATTCCTCACGGCCTGAGATTTGTCACCTTCCCGTCACTCCACCAACAGCTCATCCTGTTCTTCTTGGCTCCTCCTGGGGGAGGGCAGGGTGGCTAACGGTGGCGGGAGAGTTTAAGGGGATTTGGGAAGGTTTTTGCACTCAGAATGTCCCATTGTTGGTACATATGTCTAGAGCAGTGATCCCCAATGTGGTGCCCGTTGGGCCATGGGCCAGCCCCGGCCCCAGGAGCGTGGCAAAGGGGCAGCACCAGCCCCAGGCGCACAGCACATGGGCGGCCCTGCCCCCGGGCGCGCGGTGCATGGGCTGTGCCGGCGTCGTGCGCACAGCATATGGGCGTCTCTGCCACCGGGAACGCGGCACAGGAGCAGCGCCGGCCCCAGGCGCATGAGTGCTGCTGACTCCTGGGCGTGCGGCGTATAGGCATCCCCGCCCCTGGGCACAGGAGTGGTACTGGCCCCGGGAGTGCAGTGCATGGGCGGCCTCGCCCCCGGGCACCTGGCACGTGAATGGCCCCGCCCCTAGGCACTCAGCAGCCCCAAAAGGTTGGGGACCACTGGTCTAGAGTATGGATGGCAGGTGAAGGCTCAACTAGGGGAGGCAAGTCCCAGCCCCGCCCCTTCCTCCCAAGGCCCCGCCCCTACAGTAACTTCCCGCTATAGACATGAGCCTTGCCCCACCCCCGCCCTGAAGCCCAATCCTTTCAGGCCTGGCCCTCCTGGGTGTCTGGGGAGCACAGGCAGTTTTGAGAAGGCAATGCCTCCCTTGCCTGTGTTACTCGCCACCCATGGCCTGGAGCGCTGGGAAGAGCATGTTTCAATGAAGGAAGAAAGGAAAGAAATGAAGTTAAGGGAATGCTTTTAACGGTTCACTCAGTCTGATGACAAAGCTACGGCCAGTTTCCCTTTTCAAGTCAGGCTCGTTAGACAATCCCTGTTAGCCCACCTCAGTTTTGATGCTGTAAGAGAGCAGTGTGTGGGACTCTGCTTTTTCACATTCCATCTTTCCACTGGCTGTTTTATTAGGATTAAAGATTAGTGCCCAATTGCAATCTAACTCCAGATTTCTAATGTCTCAAAGGCTTCCACTATTTGATCTGAGGAAGTGGGTCTGGCCCACGAAAGCTCATCATCTAATAAACCATCTTGTTAGTCTTTAAAGTGCTACATAGTCCTGCATTTTGTTTCAGCTACACCAGACTAACACGGCTACATTTCTATCACTATTCAAAGGCCCCAGGGTGAGCAAATGCAGCTGTTTGGTTCTGTCCATCATCAGAATAGGGAGCCAGCTGTAAGAATCAGATCCAGGTTTGGATTTGAATAAAGAAAAAGTCGCAATGTTTTGAGATTTGGAGGACCTTGGGTTTCAGTTTGGGTCTGACCCGTCCAATAAGAACGATTCACACTCCCATTTCTCCTGGAACGACAAATCATTTGGATGCCCAGGTAGATTAGCTAAACAGTCAGTGTCTGTCACAGCAGGTATCTTTGGGAGTAACATGAAAACATTCCAAGACTGTATCACTAAAGCTCCGTAGTATTTGAGCCACCATGGTTCGCAGGCAGTTAGAGAGTCTGGCAGATTGGCTGTGTCTGTTCATTTGTGACAGCCTAAGACAGCATCAAAGATGCAGTGTCACTGCAGATCTCTCTCAGCTCTGCCAGGAGGAGCCATGTATAAAGTTCCTTAGGAGTCTACTTAGCAGCTTAGGAATCAATTTCATCTACGAGGCATGCTACCTGGTTTAGTGATCTGAGAAGTGACCTGGGTAACAGAGTTCCCTGAAATCTAGTCACTGCTTGGACATTCACCATGCCCTGGGGCAAAAGAGCCTTGCCAGTGTCTGTAAAATGGTTTCTGCAAGGGCACGTCTACACAAGGACATTATTTTGAAATAACTAAAATCGATTTAACTCACAAAGTAACAAAATCAAAATAGCATGACCACACTACGGGAAAGTCTCGAAATTAGTGCAAGGCAGGCTCCGTTAATATGGACACACTACCTCGACTTTACTCCCCAGTGCTTCCTGGGGCTCTATTCGTCTGAATTATTCTGGGGAGTAGTTGTTTTGAAACAGGAGCACTGGAACAGCTGGATGCTCCGAAACAGCTATTTTGAAATTAGAGTTCTTCCTTGAGGAAAGCAGGAGTACAGAGTTCCAATTAAGCAGCTTGTTATTTCAAAACAACAGGCTTGGTAATGTGGACGCTCCACGGATTAATTCAACTTAAGAGGGGGTTATTTCTAAATCAAGCCCTAGTGTAGACCAGGGCTATATGGACATGAGGGTATTTCCTGACTTCATTGTGGCCAAGGTGGGGGAGATTAATCATTTATTGTTTTAAAGCCCATTGAAGATGCAAAGTTCTTCATGTCCAGGTTTTTCCCTCTTCTGACAGATGGCTTGTGCCAGCCAGACGGTCACTCAACATTCAAGCAGGCTGGCTGAGCTTTTTGGGCTCATTCCCCATTTTGATTTACTATTTTGGGGGAAGTAAATAGAAACGGGGAGTGTTTAAAATGCAGCTCCGACAGTTAACGGTGGATATTGCACACTCAGGAGATACGGGGCAGGGCTTAGTGAATGCTGCAATTGTGGTTAAAGAGTGATTCTTTGTACAGGTCCAACCCGGGCAACAGCCGGCATGCAGTGTGGAATACAGCCCACCCAGGGAACTGCCACCGAAGGAAATACCTATGCAGCGAGGAAGGGCAAAACGAAGCAACCCTCACACAACACCAAGACATACCTCTGCCCCAACTGAGGGGCGACGCGCCCGCCCCCCTGACAACGAATGGGAAAGCAGACCCTCTGAACATCGCGAGGACCTCCGTGATCCAAGAGCTCACGGAATTAGAGAAGCAGATTCAAGCCATCAAGCAGGAGCTGCAGCTCGTCATGAAGAGAAAGACAGAGCTGGAAGAGTATCAGAGGACAAACAGGCCTGTAGAGCCCTAAGCCAGCCCCCTGCAAGCCCCCTGTACAATTTGCAATGCACTTTTGGAATGCCAGAAAAGAGGCACAGGGAGAAAACAAGCAATAGGTGATTCAGAAAGCCTCCATCCCACAAAACAGCAAATGCAAAAGCAGCAGGCAACTTACTCCGGGTTCTTTCCTAAGAACGAATCTCTCGTTCTTTCCATGGACAGCTAAAGGGTAGCCTCGGACAAGAGCTGCCATGAGCAGCCAGACTGCACCGCCCCTGTTTTCTTCACATGGCACTAACACAACGTTTTTAGCCCTTTCTGTGCATTAATTAAAAAAAAATCTAAAACGTGTCCCTTATTTGGGGAGATGGGAGGTGTTAAGTGACAAAGGACCTGATGCCCATTTTTAATAAGACCCCTATGGAATCATCTCCGCAGAGTCAAGGGACCGTAGCGTAAGAGAAAATAAGGATACGTCTACACTGCAGGGCTATTTTGGAATACCAGACGTATCCCAAAATAGCTACCCTGCATCTACACAAGCCATCTGTTATTTCAAAATATTTTTTGAAACAACAGGCACACTATTTCAGCATCACGGTAAGCCTCATTGGACGAGGGTTAAGGGATGGCTCGAAAGAGCGCGTTGTTTTGAAATTTGGCACTGTATAGGTGCGCCAAATTGCAAATTTCAAAATGGATTTAAAATAAGATACGCAATTTGCATAGCACATCTTATTTCGAGCTTAGGGTGCTGTGTAGACGCACCCTATTAGATGGGTCATTTTCAGGGAATTTGTTATGAACCCTTCTCTCTGAAATGATTTGCCTCTTGGACTTTGAAGATGAGGCAAGAAGTTTAAGCCATTCAGCAACTAAATAGATTACACATCAGCCTAAGGGATAGAGCTATCAAGCCATCGTTATCTAAACAAGATTTCTATTAACGATGCTTGACAACACATCCTTTGGGATGGCAGCCTGTGCCATACAGAGCATGTTTTTAATGTCTTATTTAATACAGGCCGGAGCATCCCAAGAACCAATGGGTTATTACCGACGTGCAGCATATCCAGAAGTGAATAGATTCCAACGCTCTCATTCTGGCCAGCACCCAAGCTCTGTACAAAGTAAGCTGCAATTAGCGATCTCCAACTAGGCATGCTTCACAAAACCTTTCTTTGAATGGCTGATATTTTGGGAGGCACTGGGAGCACAAAGATGTTCCTGATGAAGATGTTCCTTTGGGAGTTTGCACTCAAATCGATGTGCCTGTATTCAGTCGAGCCAGTGGCTGACGATATGGTTGAACATTTATTTTAGGCCTGGTTTTCTGCAGTGTAATCTGCTGCCATTAATTCCGAGTAGCAGGGCTTGCATGCCCTTTGCCCAAGGTGCACAGCCACAAAGAATCAGGGCCACTGGCCTGATTCTTATACTGATCTCTGATAGGAGCAGTTCGGGGGAGGGGAGAGATGTGGGATGCTGGTACCATCTTAGTCTAACCCATCAGAGCAATAAGGGAGAAGGGACAGAGAATTTCAACTTTGATTAGAGGGTGTCGCAATTTCTGGGTTAACTGAATTTGCAATGCTTCCCTTGAGGGCACCCACTTGAAGTTCCAAGCTCCCACCTATCCTCTCTCTCCTCCTGACCGAAGTATTACAGCTCTCCCACTCTGCATCCTGTACTGTGCTACCCCCAGCAAGCTGCCTAAAAGGCCAGCGCTGTGCTTTGTTCTCTCTGAGGTCCACAAAAAGGGAATTGCCAGCACTTACAAGGTACCACAGCATTTTCTGAGCAAGCACATTTATTCTGAAGGTAAAAGCATTACAGAAAAAGCACAAGCTCACACTAAAGAGTTGTCCCATGGGGTTCTAGTAGGCCAGTCTTTCCAACCATTCTGTCAGGGTTTGGGCTCCTGCTCCTTGGATAGAAGGTCCTGGCTGTTGTTGGATCAGAAGGAAGGCCCCGATTCAGTTAAATCTCAGCCTTTTCACAACACAAGCCTCACCAGGGGACGGTAGTTTTCTAGAGGTGTTTACAACCAAAGTGATTTACTTTAATCACCCTCCAGCTGGTTTGGTGGAGGAGCTATGGTAAACTCCCGCTGCAGTTGCATACAATCCCCGACTCATGGCGAGCTACAAACCATTTGTGTGCTTAAAGGAACATGGCCATATGTGTTCACTTTTTTTTTTAATTGTATCCTTTGGTATATATGGTTGTGACTACTTTCTTCCACTATTTGATCTGAGGAAGTGGGTCTTGCCCACGAAAGCTCATCATCTAATAAACCATCTTGTTAGTCTTTAAAGTGCTACATTGTCCTGCATTTTGCTTCAGCTACCCCAGACTAACACGGCTACATCTCTATCACTATGGCCTTCAGAGACACTGCATGAGGTTGCAATATCAGCCATGATGCCTGGTTCTGTAAAGTGCTACATAGTTTTTCCATTTGTTTTTGCAAGATCAGACTAACACGGCTACCTCTCTATTATGGTTCTGTAAAGATCAACCTGTTCCACATTGCACGGTGAGTTTATCACATGGTCACAACAGAAATGGAGAGATGTGTCCCATCCGAGCATACTACAGTATAACACCAAATGCAGGAACCAAGGGCTTGCCATCACAGAACAGACCAAAAGTCCAGCTAATTCAGGACCCTGCCAATGGCCAGTACTGGATTGTTCACAAAGGCTACGTCTAGACTGGCATGATTTTCCGCAAATGCTTTTAAAGGAAAAGTTTTCTGTTAAAAGCATTTGTGGAAAAGAGCGTTTAGATTGGCACGGACGCTTTTCTGCAAAAGCACTTTTTGCGGAAAAGCGTCCGTGCCAATCTAGACGAGCTTTTGCGCAAAAATCCCTGATCGCCATTTTAGCCATCGGGGCTTTTTGCGCAAAACAGTACTGTGCTGTCTACACTGGCCCTCTTGCGCAAATGATTTGCACAAGAGGGCTTCTGCCCGAACGGGAGCAGCACAATATTTCCTGCAAGAAGCACTGATTTCTTACAGTAGGAAGTCAGTGTTCTTGTGGAAATTCAAACGGCCAGTGTAGACAGCTGGCAAGTTTTTCTGCAAAAGTAGCTGATTTTGCAGAAAAACTTGCTAGTCTAGACACAGCCAAAGGGTTTTAACTAAAAACTCTAATGGAGTGGTAAACCCTCCTGATGGCCCGGCACCATCAGGAACCCAGAAGTGCTCCAGCTGCCGGACAATTGGAGCTGCTCTGTGCCCGGCTTCCCCATTCAGCCGCTGCTGAAACTGATCAGAGGATGAATGGAGGAAGCAGAGAACAGAGCAGCTGGAGTGCTGCTGGTAGGTCCCATAGCGCTGCCCCTTGGTGCTGCGGGACCAACCCGGCAGCATCCCAGCTACTCTGCCCCAGGCATCCCCAAGAGCAACTGGGGTGCTGCCGGGTTGATCTCACAGCACCAAGGGTCAGCACTACCAGACCAACCCAGCAGCACTCCAGCTGCTCTGCCACAGGCTCCTGATTCAGCTGCTGCTGAAACTGACCAGCAGCAGATGAACTGAGGACACCTGGGGCAGAGCCGGACTATCGGAAGGGGGGGGCTATGAGTGGTCTGGGGTGGCATCCCCCCCATACCATGCTAGACCCCCTCATAACCCCCCTTCCGATAGTCCGTCATATCTGATAATCCGGCACCCCCTGGGTCTTAAAGGTGCTGGATTATCGGAAGTTTACTGTAATTGTATTTGATTATAGCTTTCTTTAGGAAGTTGGGAGGGGGATTCTTTGTGACTCTGCTTGGAGAGCAGCATCATAGTCTGAAGCACCAGAATTGTTAGCACATGGAAAGTTAAGTCAGGGTAGCATCATTACATAGAGCTATTACTGTTCACAGATAGACATTTGTAATTGTTTTCTTTACAGTCTTGGTAAGCAGTTTGCCTCGGGGTGCAGAACCTCCACAAGCCGGAGTTTGCACAAAGCAGCATTCATTTCAACACACAAGCCCTGCGGGATTGGAGGTGTGGGTGGCAGAACATAAGCCTCCTTTCAGCTGTTCACGGGCTGTTAGGAGCCACTATTCTGCATGGCAAACTCCTGCTGCTAGCAATGGAAGCTCTGTGCAGGCCGGCAGAGGAACGCAGGAGAGGGGACAGTCTGAGTGCAAAGGTTTAGGCTCTCGGCTCCAATTTTAAAAAGGGAATCGCACTACGTGTGAATTGACTCTGCCCCACTGGCTGTCAGGCTAAGTCTGCCCTTCTCCACAATTTGCAGCTGCAGCACAGAATTATTACATTTTATACCCAAACAGCAGCCTAACTTTGCAGGAGAAAGGAGAAGGTAGTGGCAGGAGAGGCAGGGTTGCCTAGTGGGATGCTAGCATAGGACTTCGATTTCCCATGTGACCTTGAGCAAGTCACTTACTCTATCTGTGTCTGAGCTGCTCACCTGTGAAGCAAGACAACCCTGTTTCACACAGGGGCCTGAGGATGAATGTATTCAAGAGTGTGACATGTTTGGACACCACGGTGGGGGGGAATGTAAGTACCACAGAAAACAGCCTTAGTCAGGTTGTTTGCTGGCAAAACTACATGACCCCAATGAAAAGCAGAAACTGGGGGGAGGGAGGAGAGAAGGGAGAAATTACAGTATTTAAATATAGTTATGAAAGACAGTTATTTAAGATAGTTGGAAAACGTCAATTATTTCTCACTTTTTAAAAATTGCTGTTTGAAAAACAGCCATTTTTTCAAAAATGGCAAATGTTGTGTTGACACACCACACACCCACACATACACACACTCTTCTTCCCCCCCCCCTCCCACCTCCCAGGCATTTATGTGTTACACACTTGCATTTGATAGGAGGTAGTGTGGGCTAGCAAATAGAGCACTGGACAGCCCTGCCAAGTGACATGGGGCAAGCCATTTTTGCTTTTTCCATGCCTCAGTTTTCCCCACCTGTCAAATGGGAATAATGATATTTACCTCCTTTAGAAAATACTTTGAGATGAAAAGGCCTAAGTAAAAGAGAGAACCTTGAGAAGCTACACGATAGTAAGCAATCTCCTTTAAACTGGAGGAAGGGGGTAGGGCAGGAAGAGCAGAAAAAAATGTGCACCAAATCAAAATATATGTTCTCTTTAGTCTTCAAGCCATATTTTCTTACTTTACTCCAGTTAATACTACAGGGCCACCTTTCATACAAACAGGGAGATGAAATCTACTGGATCTCATGCATTGTATCTAAGTTCTGTCTGCAAATATGGTCATACCAATATTAAAAAAACAGCTTAAAGGTCAGATTCCAGATTGAGTTTGTAATGCTGAGCCTTAAAAAGCTCAGTTGACTTGAAAGCAAAACAATTTTGATACAGAAGCCACAAAAGCAAGACTAAAGACTGCCTCCTACCCTGCATTTTTTCAGTCACTACCATAACTCCAAATTTAATTCTAAACACTTTCACTTGGATCAAAACTCGGCTTCAGAATTCTACTTCTCCAAAAGATTTTTTTTTAATCTCACTTGGAAAATGTCAATCGCCCTGAGGGAAGAAGTAAAAGAGTTTCCAAACCTTTAGAGTGAAACAAACCTTGATTATTACAAATAACTTGCTTTGTTCCTGTTGAAGCCAGATACTGCCAGAACATAGATCAGCAGCTCCGGAACGGTGATTTTTAATACAAAAAACCCCACCTCTTTAAAAACATGGCACAGTGCAGGAAATTGGAAAAGGGATGGGGAGCTTTACAACTCTGATGTCCATTCAAACCAGTCCTGCCCCAGTTGTGACAGTGTTTGATGCAGCGTTGTTCAATGATCTGTGTGTATTTTATTGGTCATTTCAGCCTGGATGTCTAGATCACAAAAGACACTTTCAGAGCAGATACGCCTACGCACCCTCTTCTGCAAATCTCAGCCAAGAAGCCAGGCATTGTATAGGCAGAGGATGGCGAAGCGTGGAAAGTTGGACTTAGAACATAAGCTCCTTGGGCCAGACCATTGTTTTGTTCTTTTGTACAGCAACTACCACAACCAGGCCATGAGTTCACCCCGTGGACACAATGGCAGTACAAATAACACAGAAAGTTCCCCTCCCCCATCTCTACCACACATCGAGAGCTTAAGCAAGCCACTGGCTTTCAGTGCCTCAGTTTCCCCATTTGTTAAAAAAGAGAGGGGCTTTTCTTCCCTACTAACCAAGAGTTAGGCAATCTCATTCCTTGACATTTGTAAGTGCTTTGAGGTGAATGATGCTATAGAAACACAAAGGTGTACTAAGAACCCACCCACCAAAAATGAAATACCGTGATGGAATAAAAGCAGGATACACTGCCCTGGTTAACCATTTAACTAGTCTGTGAACAAAGGTCACCAGACTCTCGGGCCCAGCACCTTTCAAGATTAAAGCCACAAATCACTTGTTAGCTTGGAGAAGAGTAGACTCACCACTGGAGAGCACCCGGTGGCTGGGCATGGCCTTGTAGGTTCCTTTTCTAGCGCAGCCTGTAGACAGCTCCTCCAGCTCTTCAGAGTCTGTCTCCACCCGCGATTCAGCCCTCTGTTGGGATCACTGAAGTCTCAGCACTCCCAGGGTAACAGAAAAATCAACAAAACAAAGCCCAGCAGTCTCAAGCCAAGTCTTTGCCATGACTCTCGATTATCAGTCCTTCCAGCCCTAGCCTTTGGGGTCTTCACTTTATGGTTCAGGCCAGGGACACTGTATTAAGTAGGCAAGGTCTGGCTACTCAAACCGCTGTTCCTCCCTTGGTGACTTTCTATGCGGGTCACCTGCAGGCTTCCCTGCCAGTCACTTCCTGGGTTTTCTGGGGCTCTATAGTCCTCTCAGGCTGCCTGCAGGGCTGTAGATGGCAGGACGCTTCTCTGGAACTCTCCAACAATTCCCAAACCAAATATTTGAATTTCAATCACTTCCACTCTCCCCAGACCAGAACTTGAGCCCCTCACAAGTCTCCACCAATATTCTGCTCCAAAGCTGCCTCTCTACAAGCTTGCCCCTAGTCTAAAAACCACTGCTCTTGTAGCTTTTCCCACTACTTCTTTCCCCTCACTTCAGTCAGCCACCAGCCTCCTGGGCCTCTCCCCAACGGAGCTCTCTCAGTCTGTGTAAAAGAAACCTGACTCCTCTCCAGGTGACCCTCCTCACTGGCCTACTGAAGTCCCCTCCAGGTGCCAGCAGGAGGGATAATTGGGTTCATCAGCACACCTGTGCCGTTTTCAGCACCACCGTGGGGTTTACACCCTCTCTCTGGCCCATATAAAGTGAAGTGACTGAAGGCACCACGCTGCCACTTCCAAAGATGCAGGGTTCAAACGTCAACCCTGAGGGTCAGCCACAAAACAGCAAAGTTGCTCCAGAG